AAGGGAACAGTAGAAGTGTTGATTTTCTCACTGATGGGTCATGCCCCCAACCTCCATCCCCAACCTTGGAAAGAAGGCAGTTTTGACTTTACATAATAATCTATTAATTTAAAACAGGGTTGCTGCTGGGATTCGATAATTTTAAAAAGCACCTAGAACCGTCCTTGGTGCACCTTACAAATAAATTCTTACTTTGTAATTTGGCTCTGAAGGCTGGTCTTAATGGCAGGTGAATAAAGTGAGTATTAGCCCACACAGGGATGGCTCTCTGCATGTTTTAAGTAAATACTCACATATACATGTACCATAGTGGTAGGATCTAACACAGTATTGTGGGGATTAGATTTATTGACCTATAAAAGGCCCAGTACACTGTAAGTGCTGAGTCATTTGTACACATTGACTTCTCTATAAGTGTTAGGAATGCATCCGTGCGTGCAACTGAATATTATTGTTTGATTTTATTTGTCACCGCTGGTTGGAAAGCGGTATCTTGTCACTGAACAGCAGATGGTGCCTGGAACTTTGGGAGACTGCCCACAGTGAGCCAGCAGCCTACTTACCTGTGTCTTTTTGGCTGGTTAGCTCATTGCCTGATCAAGTCCAGATAGCAGGTTTAGTCTCCATTCAGGCAAGTTAGTTCTGGGCCTTGCACTAGGGCCCTAGCTCTCAACCTACCATTTGGAAAATGATAAATTAAAAGGAAGACCAAGTGGAAACCTTCCTGTGGGCCACCACCACTCATCCCCACCATAGCATCAGGAATCCATCCCTCATGGCATAGTGACTGCAGGTCTCTATTGCATTACAGCAGGAGGGGGTTCCTTTCTATTTCTGTCAGAGGGATAAGATAGCAAGTACTGAGTGAATTGGCAGAGTTTGGCAGCCAGAAGGCTTCCATATGTAATTAGTTCACACCTTACCCAGCGATACTATTGGATATAGTGCTGAATGTGCCAATAATTTGGCATTGCTGTAGAGTCTGATGACATATGCCTTAAGGTTTTAGATTGATTCAGATTCTGCGCTGGCTTACTTCAAGTTGCCAGGATTGGGGGTTTGGTAGGTTAGCCGTTAAAATCTTTTGGAAGCTTTAGATTCTGTTTCACGCATTTCATATGATTCAGATAAATGATTAACTATAGCTTACCTTGGAGGCGTCGGCTTCATATAGCTGTCGTAATGTCCTTCCCAACACACTCTTAGTGGTGTTCATGAGCTGCTTACTCCTCCTCCAGCTTCTGGTTGTAGAGTCTAGGTATAGGGACTCTAACCCAGTCTGTCTGCTTTCCTTGTCTTGCCTTTTAGGTAACTTGTAAAAGATAAACCTAACAAAGGAAATAATTACAAATTACTAACGTTTATTGACTGCTCCCCTGGTGTTAAGCACCTAAACATATCATTTCACTTGTGTTTCCTAAGCCTAAGGAAAGGGACTTGCTCCAGCTTTCTGCCTCTATTCTCACCTTTGGCTTTGCTCCTTCCCAGAGTAGGAATGTGAATCTGACAGGATACGTCTCGAGAGAGTAACCAGTCCGGTGGGGAACGTCCCTGTAGGGGAAACCCATGTATGAATTGTACCCATTGACCGTGGCTCTCTTCTGTTTCCACGGTCCTTATGGAGAGGCCAAAGCCCAGGGCTGGACTGCAAAGGCCTTGGATGTGTTTTTCTCTTCTGCCCCAAGTGCTTGGCATGCTCATCTCTTTGTAGCTGGCTGGCTGGGTCTGAGATTTGGGTCTGGCAGGCAGAGTAGATGGCGTCTCCCTTGAGCCTCTGGCCTAGGCCACATTCTTCAGCTGTTTATCAGACTGCCCTGCATTGAGGATTCAGGGCCAAGACCAGCCAATCAAGTAAGCATTTTGCCTTCTTTACTCTTATCTCCTGTTTGTATATCTTCTTCAGGTACTTCACAGGGAGGAGAGGTGGTTGGATCATGTAGCCCAGGGCTTCTCAATGGGCTGTGTTCACATTTCAGGCCAGATCATGCTTTGCCATGGGGGGCTGTACTGGGCATCGCAGCCTCCCTGACCTCTACCTATTAGACGACAGTAGTACTCCTCAGCTGTGCCAATCAAAAATGTTTCCAATGTTGAAAGTCCCCAGGGGGCAAAGTCACCCGGGTCTAGCCAAATACTCTCTAATAGCAAAAATCCCACAATGAACTGTCAAATACAATGAAGCAAACCTTCTAATGCATTTCACTATTGCCACACGCCAGTGTCTCACACTGCCCGTAAAAGCTTCACATTCTACGCTCACTTCTATTTACACGCGCTCTGTCCTGCCCTGCGCATGCGTTCTTACTCTCAGGGCAGGGTCCTCACGTGTGGCCGGAAACCTGAGATTATTCTTTGCTGCGGGCCTGATGTTGCTCCGCCCTTTGACTCTCACAGTGAGTTGTAGCAGCTCGAGGCTGCCTCCCTGTCTGCTCAGTTCAGCATTCCCTCTGACGGGTGTTGCTAAGTAAGATGTCCATTCAGTTGTGGCAAAAATACATTTTATGTGTCAATCACACTGTGGTGGCCCACCACTGAAGGCCTGGAGAACTCTCAGTGTCACGACATACCAGATGAGAACTCATGCTTTTAAACATTTTTTGGGGGGTAACCATTTCCAGTTATATTCTGAAGACTCCTGAGTCTGTTTGTAGCCCAGACCTCTCTGCTGAGGTCCAGAGAAGTCTACATGCATACATGTCCCAGAGACCTCCAGCTCCATATTTTTGAAACCAAGTTTATAATATTTTGCTCCAACTCTGCTCTTCTCTGCAGCTAGGGAACACATCTGTATGGTCAGAGAAGCCAGCAATAAAGAAGTCTTTCTTAACTTCTCCCTCTCTCCTACGACCCTCAGCCCGTTTGTGGGCAAGTTTTCTCAGAGTGTTCCTTCCTCTCTAATTTGACTACCATTTCTCTGACGTGGGTCCACACGTTGCCTTGCCCATGACTCTAGCTAGACTGGTCTCTGTTCAGCTGGCCTTCACAGTACCGCCAGTGGGCTTTCTCAGATATGAAACTGACCACATCACATCCCTGCTTGAAGGTCTTTAGTAGCTCCCTTTGAGGGTCGAGTGTGGACTCTGAAGCCCAGCACACGAAGCTTTTCATGACCTGGCCATTGCCTCCTGCTGAGCTTCCCTCTCGCCATCTCCCCACGTTCTCCTGAAGCACCAACAACACTGAACTGCTGCCATGCCCTCTCTGTGGCTTTTTGCCTTTTTGCCCCTGTATCATCTCCTCATTGCTCCCTCCTGGGCCTGGGATGCCCTTGCAGGTCCCTGGTTTTTCTGAGCAGCTCACCTTTGTTCTTAAAACTTAGCTCAAAACTACTCCCTCAGAGCTTTCTGGGCTCTCTGCTCCCCAATGGCCCCATCTATGCCCTCACCCCATAATTGAGCTCCTGGAGGGCAAGAACCACGTTTTGTTCATATCTGTATCTTCAAAACTCAGCACAGGGCCTGGCATGTGCTCAGGAACTGTTTGCTGAGAGACTGACTGAGTGTATCTGTGTTCTCTAGCCTGAAGTTTACGCAAAGCTTGATCCCGACCATAATGTCAAAACTAAACACCTTAATTAAAGAGTGAAACGGTGATCAAAGCTTTAGAAGAATCCATGACCATGATGTGATGCTGTGCTTAGTCTCTCTGACACTGCGAAGGAGGCCAGTGACCTAGTACCCACTCCAACAGCTGCCTTGTGCTGCCTAATAAACAAGGTTACCCCAACAGTGCTGTGTTCGATCAAGCCCTCTTTCTCCTTCTCATAAGGGGAAGAGCAAGCTCCCATGTCAGACAAAAAGTAATCTGCCTTCTCTCCTTTGTCAATCTCTAAAAGGATGTTGGAGGGGTTCTGTTAAGAAAGGCACAATGCAATGAAAGGAAACTGCCAACCAAGAGAGGCTGACAGTCCTCCCCCACCTCTGTGGCCACCAGCCGTGCCCCTCTGGGACCAGCAAATCAGGCTCACGAGGGGCTGCTGAGCTCTTTCTCAGTGGGGAAGCTCCCCCACTCAGGAGCCTGCCGCTATTTGGATATTTGGCCCATTTACACACTTTAATTTCCTCTCTTTTTAAAAGGTAGAGGCAGGGTGGAAGACTCCTTTGGAACTTTACAGTGAGCCGCTTTGCCTCAGATACTCTGGCTTTCTAGCTGCATGCACCGATCCGCACATTGCATTTACCTACCAATCCACAGCTTTGCCTTCTTCATTCCTGCACGATATTGTTGTTGCCTCCAGGACCCCAAAGAGGCCAAAGAAGAGCAAAGCAAGGGCTGTTCTCCGAAGTCTTGCTGTCATTTTTTTATCTGCCACCTTCACGCCGTGCCACAGCGGGAAACCTGCCCCCGAGACTGAGGACTCCGAGTCTCAGGTCTCTCTCAGTCCGTGCTGGTGCTGACGTTGGGATTCCATTTACCTCTGTTACCGCTGTTCGGGCATTTTCAGGACAGGGTGAACTTCATGTCATTGTGTGGTTCTGTCACAACATGCCAGCGTGACTCTGGAGGCTTTGGTGCTGAATTGTTGACTGGTTTGCAAAGTCATCAAAAGTTCTGGAGAGAAAAGCGGGATATATAGTTAACTCTTTGGAGTGAACATCATATAGTAGGAAGTTCAGTGGGCAGGGGAACTCCATGTTGATCAGTAGATGCTGAATTAAATATATTTCATGTTTTTCCCTCATGATGGCCCAGGAGTGAAAGCAAATGCTTGTCGTTGACTCATTGAGCAGAAATGACAAAACCTTATGTCTTAGTAATAGTTAGGATCTATCACTTCTAATACTCTCAGTCTTAAGTAAACATTCCCTAAAGTACTTCAAAGGGTTGCCTCAAAGTCAGAACAAATTTAATTGTATTTTACCAAAGATGTTTACATATTGTCTCCACCTCTGGTTTTAGCCACTCAACGTGGTCCTTTCGTTTCCCAAGAGGCCTTGGTGTCCAATTGGTTTTAATGCAATCAGGTAAACATATTGACTGCTCACCCTTCAGGTCAGATTAAAAAATGTTAGAAAACATCTGTTTTGCCCAAACTATTCTTTTTCACTCTTGAAACTGAATTTGAAGTTGAAGGCCAAGAGAAAATGGCCCATTACCACAATGACTATAAAAAGGTGAGACCATTCTCTTTTTGGGGGAGGTAAGGGAGTAGACATGCATATGAAGAGAACTTCTTAAATTGACTCAATTATTAAAGATGCTGTCATAAAAAGTAGCATTTTACCCTCTGCCTGGAAATCGTTATGGCTCTGATCTGTCCCTCTGAATATGGATCTAGATCAGTCACTTAGGGACCCAGACCAAACTGGAATCTTTCAAATCTTCTGGTTGAGTTGGAGTTTTTCAGGACTCAAGGTTCATGGGAAAGTGAGGGGTTGGGGCTCTCTTTGTCTAAAGACAGAGTTTTGTGAAGGATGTTTGGACAACCCACCCACATTTTCCTGTGGTGCTTATAAAAGGGGCAGAATTCTGAGCCTCAATGCAGACCTGCTAACTCAGAATTCTTCCACTTTGGCTTAGGAATCTGCATTTTTTTTTTTTTTTTACAAGGTTTGTGGTGATGCTGGTGCACCCTAAACTTTGCGGCTTGCTGCCCTGAGCCAAGGCTGTGCTGTATCTGATAGGTTTGCCACCTATCAACTTGGTAAATAAAAAGAAAATTTCTGATCATTTCTCTGTGGGTATCATTTTGTTTTATATATGTTTTTATTGCATTCAAAAAAAAGGATTTCAGCAACTGTAAACTTTTCATCAAGTTTTAAAAATTTCATAGCATGAAGTTTATTTTTCTAAGTTAAAATAAAATAAAATTAATTTTATCTTATGATAGCTTTTGGTAGTATAAAGGTAATAGCTGAGTACCCTAGGCTTAAGATTCACTGATGCATTTAGAGAACATAAGCAACTTGTTTTCAGTTATGTAGGCTAAGGAACATTTGTTGAATAGGATATAAAATAATTCCTGTTTTCTCCTCATTACATGCTTAGCACAGGGCCTGGCCAAAAGTAAATGATCCACAAATGTTAGCTAAGATTATTTTTACTATAACCTGAGCCCTTCCTGTGGTTGGGCTGGGGGGCATCTGTATTAGGATGCTATTTGCTAAATCCACTTTTATTTCAAGGTCTGGAAAAATGCTGTTAGGTTACTTTCTTTCAGATATAACTTTCAGTTAAGCTTTCTTATCTCCAGTTGTTGCTGACCTGATCATGCTGATTGTCAGTCTGTGACTTTTCTTATGCAATCACTAGGTATCAAACCCTGTACTGGACATTGAGGGGCTCCAGAGATGTCAGCATTACCCTAAAGACTAGATTCCAGTGTGTCCTGGTTTTTGCTGAAAACAGTGAAGTAATGTAAAAGGAAACTGAATTTGGTGGATGGAGAAAATGCAAACTGGATAGAATGTTTTTCACAATATCCACTTTTGAAGCCCGAGTAGTAGAAGATGACAAAGATACCACAGGTCCTTCACAGTACAATTACCTCTAAAAACAGTAGAAAACCCCTTCGTTATAACTTAGCCGAGTATAGTGAACAAAGTAGAGTTCTTCACTTGGTCATGCGCTTCTTAGTTCATAGTTGAAAGTTTGCGTTCATTCATCCAGTAATTCTGGAAGATCTCAGTCCTGATCTCCTTGAAATTGTGCCTCTTCCACTTTCGCTCTGTCATATCACCCTAGTCCCTTTTCCATCTCTTGCGTACACTCTGTCTCCTGTGTGTCTGTATTAATCCCGATTCTTTATTTGGATCTATCTTCCAGTTCTCATATTCTCTCTTAGGCAACATTATTCTGTTACTTAATCTATCTCTTCCAAACAACTAATTATATTTCTTCAGTTGTGTTTAATCTGTTTCTTATTGCACTTGGTAATGCATTTCTAGAGGTTCTATTGGGTTTTTTTTCAAAACGTTTTTCAAAATTTTCAGATTTACTTGGTCTTTTTTATGGTCTCTTGTTTTTTGCTCAAGAGAAGATACACTCTATCTCAAGAAGGAGATACGCTCAGTTCTTTCTTTTATTTCTGTAAAAATATTAAATATGTTATTTTATATTTTGTGTTTGATAATTCCAATATCTGAAGTCTTTGCTGTTTGTTGTTTCTGCAACTCTCTCTCATGATAACTCGCTACTCCGTGTGCTTTTTTATTTTCGGCTGTGAGTCCATATTCTTTGAAGCCTTATCTGTGAAAATTTCTTGAGATTGAGATAAACTTGGATTTCTCCAGACCCTGGCCTATGCTGGCTTCACTGAAATTTGGTCATCCTTTGAGGACTTCTGGAAGTCAGGCTGCTGGCTTTATTTCTTTTATTTTCAATAGCTTTCGAGGTATGATTTACATGCCAGAAAATTTATCTGTTTAAGTTTAACTTAACGTTCAAACTTTTACAAGACTGTTGATGTCCTGAGTAAAATCTAGAATGTGACAGACTGAAGGAAAAAGTTGATATCCTTATTGTGGGAGGTAGCGGGGGGGACTGGAATTATTTTGATGAAAATTGATGAGACAAGCAACGTGATACAGGTATTTGTGAAACAAAGAATTGTTTATGAAAAATGTTGTTAAAGGAAAACATAAGTAGAATTAATGGAAGAAGGCCAGAAAATTTTATTTTGTTAATTCCTATTCATCATTCATAGCTTTGTGGATGCCAGGCCCTCCTGGAAGCTATCCTTGATGTCCCTCAATCTGGCTTAGGTATCCCAGGGTTCACTGTATTTTTTTCAATGGGAGTAATTATCACAATGTGTTCTAATTACTTGGTTATGTTTCTGAGCCTTCTTCTCAAGAGCCAGGGTCCTCAAGCCAAATCTGGCCCACTGCCTGTTTTTGTAAATAAAGTTTTATTGGAACACAGCAACATCCATTCATTTATGTATTATGTATAACTATTTACGCTGTGATGGCGGAGCTGAGCAGTTGCAACAGAGACTATATGGTCTGCAAAGCCTAAAATATGAACTTCTTGATTTTTTACTGAAAAGGTTTGTTCTAGTGTGAAGGGTATAAACTTCTAATGTATAATCTCTATCAGGGCAGAACAATGTCTGCCTGGTTTGCTATTGTATCTCTAGCACTTACCCTGGTGCTTATCACCTAGAAGGAGCTAAAGAAATATCGATGAATGAATGGAGTGAATGAAAACGATTTCAGTTTTCTATTCTGGGGTTATGTGGAATTTATAATGAATTAAATCTAAACAGATAAATAAATAGAAATGAGTATGCAGGCAAAATCCAATTTTAAAGAACTTACAATGTTATGTCAAAAAGGCAGCTGGGTATAGTGAAAACAATCAGACAGGCCTGGGTTCCATGCCTGGCCCTGCCTCTCCAAAGTCTTGTGGTTTTGGGGGCGCCTGGGTGGCTCAGTTGGTTGAGCATCTGCCTTCGGCTCAGGTCATGATCCCAGGGTCCTGCATCGGGCTCCTTGCTCAGCGGGGAGCCTGCTTCTCCCTCTGCCCCCCCCCCCCTTGTGCTTGCTCTCCCCCTTTTGCCCCCTCTCTCTCTGTGTCAAATAAATAAAAAATGTTAAAAAAAAAAAAAAAAGCCTTGTGGTTTTGGCTTTTTTTTTTTTTTTTAAGATTTTATGTTTAAGTAATCTCCATACCCAACATGGGGCTCGAACTCACAACCCCTAGATCAAGAGTTGCGTGCTCCACCAACTGAGCCAGCCAAGTGCCCCCACAACAGCCATGTGGTTTTGACCAAACTATTTAACCTCAACACTGTCAGCTTCCTTCCCTCAAGGTGAGGCTCATGATCTGTGCTTTCAAAGAGTGCTCTCAGGATTCAGTGAGGGGCTGTGTGCGTAGCCTCTGGCACATGACGAATGCTTATTAAATGCTGGTTCCTTCCCTCCTTGTTTCCTGTTCTTCTGTGACACTGTTCTGTCTTTATCTTTGCTGATGGACTAAAAACTGTCCTTTGGTGATACGGGTTTAATGACCACAAATACACCTACATCACTCATGTTTACAGTCGTCCTTGCCCAGATAAAAGTCAATGTTTGACTCAAATGGAGTGCCTGTTACTGAAGACTCGAAGCTGAATTTTCATCCTGTCCCCAAGGGCAATGAGCTTTTCATTCTCCCCTTACTTCACTACCTAAACATCCTAGCCATACACACAGAATAGATCAGAGCAGAGAATTCCCCTGCAATTTAAACCAATGACTTCAGTTCTAGAAAAAAGGGATGGCTTGGACTGGGGTCTCTCTGGGGGTCGATAAGTTCTGGCTGGTTCAGTGTAAGCAGAATACGGCTTTTCAGTCTCAGCAGGGCTCTGTCCACGGCCTGGGTCTGCCTGGTAGCCCTATAGCTTTGGGCAGCTCACTTTATATCCAAATAGAGATTCTTCCTCTTAAATTGCAGGGGTTTGGGGAGGAATAGATAAGATAATGTAGATTCCAATGAATGGAATTTAAAAAATGGTATAGAAACTCAAGTTTGCATGGCCGTTTCCCTCCCTCTATATCCTTTCACTCCCTAAAGAGTGGGCTGGCTGGCCCTCCAGGGGGTGATCGGGACTCGGCCTGTAGTGGGGAAGAGCCTGCTATTCAGGGGCAAATGGGTGGGGTTCTCCTCCTGCCTTCTGTCACAGAGTAATTTTGTGACCTTGGCAGGATATTGAACCCCTAGTATCTCCCTTGGTCAAGCTTGGATTAAAAATAACCTACTTCACAGGGTCCTTGTAAAGGATCAGAGGGAATAATAGATGCCCAGTTCCTGACACAGATGAAACCCTCACTAAATGGTTACTACTGTTATTTTTATTCTCAAGACTTGCACATTTGGAAAGAGGTATCTTTCAGTGTATGCGTTTTAGTGACACTTTCTTCCCACCGAGTTCTTGGAGGTCTCCATCAATTCTTTGTTGTGGCGTTTCCCGCCCCCAATGCTAGAAAGCGGCTGAGGGCCTTGTTCCAGTCCCCAGCCCTAAGGCTACTGGCGCCATGGAGAGGTTGGCAAGAAAATTAGCATTTCCCCGGACATTTAGTGACTGAATTTTCTCTTCCTTTGTAATAGGCAGAAGTATGAAAATCACTGAGCATCTGTAAATAGAATCTTCATTAGCTAACAGGTCACCTTCCTTCTACCATAATTATGCATATGACTTGTTAGACTGTTTCTGAAGCATCTGCTTGACAAATCCCTTTAGAGTCACACTTTGAACATAACTCAGGGCATAGCCCTCCTTGATAGCAAAAATAAGCCACTCTACAGCCTAAAGCAACATGACATTTTCTACCAGATATCAATATTTTCCCATCTGACATTTAGTAGATCCTAGGCAGCCCAAAAAAAAAAAAGAAAAGAAATACCAGCTGCTTCTAAGGTTATGATTCACCATTGTTGTTCTTATCCTTATGTATTGTTAAGATCTGCCAAAGTGATATTAAGATTGTTCAGATGAGTACTCCTTTTTCTCATATTAGTTCAGCATCTTTCTCTGAAATCTTTTTGTTCACGAATACCCAAGAAAATAGTCAGGCAAAGGAAAAACCTGGGCACAGAATTGGAAGAACTTCTCCAGAACATTCCAAAGACAGAAAGAGAGGCCTGTCTCCATGAACAGTTCTTCCATCATGGTGCACTGCAACTGAGTTGATTTTTATACCTGTGTTGGGTCCTAAATAGCTAGCCCTTTTGTATTTGTCTCTGTTATGGAGGGAAGAGATGAGGCTTACAGAAGCTCTTCTAAGACTGAAGAGAAAATGTGAGTTATTTTTAAATTTAAACAAGTTTTTTTTTTTAAACCTTTCTTAATATTTTCTACCTCGAATCCAACCACTGGGCCTTCTAGGGTTAACAGACTCCAGACTAAGGACCCCTAGACCTGTAGTGACAGCCTTCATCATTTTCAGTATGGCTTGCAAATAAGAGAATGCTCACTATCTCATTACAGAAGTGAAAAATAAGATTAATTTACAATCTCAGAGTGTTCTCTCCAACATTACTTGCGGGTAAGTAATGATTTCTGTCCTCTTGTCTTTCAAGACATATCTAAGAAAAGGGGATTTTCCTTGTGTAGAGCCAGGTAACTCATCCAGAGTATCACTCTAGGAAATTGAGTTTCCTTTTGTGACTTTGTTTCCTAAAGCCACGCAAGGCTGAGGAAGGACAACCAAAGTATGAAGGCAGAAGTAGGCCTTGTCATAGCAGCAGTCTTGTCTGGACTGGCGTGCAATCCGGGTATTTATCTCTAACAGTAACTGGAACCCTTTGATATAAAATTTGACATGTAGTTATTATTTATCAATGATACTTATGGCTAACATTTATTGAACACTCACTCTTTGCCAGGCCCGCTTCTGAGTGCTTTGTGGTTTTTCCCACAGAATCCTCACAGCAGTCCTGAGAGGTAGGCACTACCATTATTCCCATTTTATAGATGGAGAAATTCGCCTCCACGTGCAGAGCTAATAGGTGGCAGAACAAAGGCTCGCCCCTGTGCTGCCTGATTCCAGAGCCCAGAGCCCATCCTCTCAGCCACCTGCCCGCCCTCCACGTGACAGCCACCTTCCTATCTTATTGTGCAGTTATCTTGGATACGGATCTCTGCACCGCACTGTGCTGTCTACACCATAGAGTTCTGGCACCTCCTTCTGACGTCTCTGCCTGCAGAAATGGGGGAAGTCTGATGGAGGAGAGCAGCCTCATTTCTGGTCTGGACCCGTTATCTGTCAGGTCCTGCCAAGAGACTCTCGGGCATCCCACACCTCTGTTGTTCCATTCTGCTCCGTCCGCAGATGGTTATGTCCTTTTTCTTCTGACTTATTACCCAGTAAATGTGATTACTCAAGCTTTGCTCTGGTGCCAAGGCCTGGTTGGGAGCTCGGTGAGGAAAGCTGACCTCTCCTGCACGCATCACGCAGGAGCTCCATGAGGGCTGCGCTGTGTGGAGTGCTCGGTCTTGTTAGCACCGTGAGCACTTTGTGCTGCGTCCCTGACTCTCTCTACACGCAGTTCTGCCCTTCCCGGGCCTTTATTCTCCAGTCGGCTGTGCCTGTGATCTCCGGGCTGCGGCGATCAGAGAGCTGATGGTGCCTTCCCCACTTTCCCAGGAAGAGGAACTTCCTGCTCAGGGTTTGAGCTGACCGTGGCAATTCTGTATTGAAATCTTTGGGATATTTTCATTAACTATTCCATGTCACCACACAAGAAGTGGAGGTGATGGTGCACCATTCATTCAGCCATGCCATGTTTGTTAAGCACCTATTTATGTTCTAGGCACTGTGCTGAGCACTGGGGTTGCCATGACAACTAAGATAGAATGGTTTCTGCTTTCATAGTCGCCCGTTTTTTAACAAACAGACACATGATGAGGCAATTGCAACATAATTTGATAAAGGCTCTGCTAAGGCAGTAACTCTTTCCAGAGCATATAGAAGAGGCACCTACTCCAGCCCTGAAGAACTGGGCAGATAACCGGGGGAAGTGGCATCTGAGACCTGAAGGGTGACTAGAATAAGTTTGGCAGGTGAAGGGGTTGGTAGTTGGGCGGAAGGAAAAGAAAGGGTGCCCAAGGAAGAAGGAATAGCATATTCAAAGGCCTACAGGCAGAGAAAGCATGCAGAGCCTGGGCAAGCCCAATGAGCTCAGGATAGCTGAAGCAGAGTTTGAAATAGGCTGTGGCAAGACATGCAGTTGGAGAGGTGAGCAGGGTTGGGGACCTGAAGGGTGGCTGTCATTGAATCTTTCTATGTATCATGTAGGAACCACTTGCTTTCACAGACTGAGCTACTGTAGCTTGGGTATTTAGTGGCAGGGCGTAGGACTGAGGGGTCACATTTGTTGAGTCCTGCTGTGTCTTGCAGCTGATGGATGATCTGGGAGACCTTTAGCTCTGGCCCCTCATCCATGCCGTCCAGGGGCCCCAGGCCAGCCAAGTGCCTCCCTCCCCCTGGTGGAATCCCTGTTGCTCAAAAGTCATGTCAGAGCCTTCTTCCGACTGCGGCCAGCAGTGCTCTCTACTCTAAAAACTGGTGCCTTCACTCAAAGTCCCTCTTGCCATGCCTGCCGCTGCCATGCCCGCAGCTGGGCCTGACGTGGCCACTGTAGTTGGGGGTGGCCCTCACTGCTCCACTAGGTACTAGGAACTGAGCTGGGACGTTCACACTCACCAGCAACTCTTACAAGTAGGGGTGGTTATCTCCGTTTGTACAGCCAGGGAAACTGAGGGCCAGAGCCAACAAATTATTTGTTGCAAGCCACAAAGCTATAAACGGCAAGACAGAATTTGGACCTGGTCTGATTCCAAAGCCCCTGCAACCACAAGCGGTGACTCTTTCCTTGTCCATATTATCATTCTTATTAAGATCCTTTAAGTCCGCTCTTTGTGTTGTCTTACTGATCCTGTTCTTGAAGATGAGTCCCTCCAAAACTGGGTCAGAGGCTTTTGAGGGACCTCTCCAAGAGTCGTCCCTTCAGTCAGCAGCATGTCCTAGCAGGCTCTGTCCCTGAGATTTAAGACCGCCTCTCATACTTTACGATTCCTCCCTGGGGATCTGGTGATGCTTTACGTAAGCAGAATTTGGGGCTGCCATCAGCATATTGCCTATGTGCCATTAGCAGGTGAGGTTCCTCTGTGACCCTCCCCAGACTCTCATTGCATGTTGTTTCTGACTTACTTTTATTTTTGTCACTTTGCTTTCATTACCATTTTAATGTTCAATTTTGATGCTAACTAAAATAGGGTTTTCTGCCCCTCTGCTCCCTCCTGCCTCTTCTCTCAAATACCAGTAAAGCCCAGGGACGAATCTTCTGAATCCTAGCAGTGGGGATGGATGCATTCGCTAGTGAGAGCTTGGGCTTCAGATAAGGCTACTAATCAATCAGTCACCAGGCTTTTATTAAGTGTCTCTTCGCTAAAAGCATAGCTGTCCCTGCAGCCAGATGGCCCTGGCTCTGCCCTCCTGAAGGTAATCTGGACCCTGTCACTAATTACTCTTCTTCCCGGCAGCAAGTAGAAGAAGCAATTTGCAAATTGTTTTTATTGATCACACGGCATTTTCTCCAGAATATCGCTCAGTATAAAAAAAGAGGATATAATTATTCTCAGTTAACATAGTCAAAACATGTTAATAGAAGAAGGGCAAGTCTACACAGCGGTTCGGAGGACAAAATCTGAAGTCAACAGATCTGAGTAGGAATCCTTGGCTCTATCCTTCACGAACTTTGTGGAGTAGAGCAGGTCACTTAAACTCTTTGAACCTCAGTTTCTCCCTCTGTAAAATGGGAATAATATGAGTTTATAGAGCTGTTACAAGGATTAAGTTAGCAGGAATTAAATAAAACAGAGTAAAGAGTTCGGTCCAGGAGATACTGTTATTGTTATCATTAGTTATTGTTATCAAGAAAGCCCCCTACCTGTCTGTCTTCAGGCTAGCTGGATATATTTTCATCTGTTTCTCGTAATTCTCTTTTCTCCGTTAAAGTTCCCATTTCTCTTCAAAGGTCGGATGTAGTCTTGCTTTCATAAATACTCTTAACTCTCACCTTTTATAATTATGTGATTAAATCAAGGCTTAAGAGCTTGGAGTTGACTTTTTGCTTTCGTTAAGTTTCTTCAATAAGAGGACTGTGTTTTTGTTGTAGAATGATGAGGTGGAGTTCGTCCGAACTGGCTATGGGAAGGATATGGTAAGAGTTCTTCATATTCAGCGAGATGGAAAATACCACAACATTAAAGAGGTGGCAACTTCAGTGCAACTTACTCTGAGCTCCAAAAAAGATTACGTGCATGGAGATAATTCAGACATCATCCCCACAGACACCATCAAGAACACAGTTCATGTCTTGGCAAAGTTTAAAGGGGTAGGTGTCATTCTTCTTAGATGCTGCCTATCTTGATGCAGAACTCACTGTGCTATAATCTGAGGGTATTATTTGCTTACTGCAAGTTCCCTTTATTTTTTAACCCTATTTTTACATTTAAGCCACTAATTTTTAAAAATTTCTATTCTAAAATTCTCAGCCTTACCGAAAAGCTTTTTTCTTTTTTCTTCTTCTTAACCTCACTTCTTCTCTTTTTTGGTTCTCAACTTACTACATCTTTTAGGAAGAGAATCCTATCTGACAAATTTACATGCTCTCTCTTAATTAGGATCATTGGCAAATCAAGGCCCCGGGAGGATTTCAGAATAGGATTTTATACATTTTTGTCATACATTTCTTTGATTCCTCTAGCTAATTTAGAATGGTGTACATTTATAGAAAAAAGTACCATTTCTCTTCCTGCTGTTACTATAGAAGAAAATCTTGAGTATAAGATATATTTCGAAATATATTTGCCCAACTTTTGATGCCTTCCTAATTTTCCCAACTGCATGACCACTTAGTATCTGTATATTGTGGTAAGTGTACTGTTCAAAAGGGTCTTGAAGCTGATAGAATCTGCTATTTTATAACACTTCACCTTCCACTTTCTTTAAGTGTGAGTGAAGCTGTGTTGGAGCACTAGCAGATTTCTGGGCAACTCAAGATAATTTTTCTTTTTTTTGCACGGGCATGCAGATGTTATTTATTTATTTATTTATTTATTTATTTATTTTTATTTTATTATGTTATGTTTATCAGCATACATTACATCATTAGTTTTTGATGTAGTGTTCCATGATTCATTGTTTGCGTATAACACCCAGTGCTCCATGCAGTACATGCCCTCTTTAATACCCATCAGCAGGCTAACCCATCCCCCCACCCCCCTCCCCTCTAGAACCCTCAGTTTGATTCTCAGAGTCCATAGTCTCTCTTGGTTTCCCACTCCGATTTCCCCCCTTCATTTTTCCCTTCCTGCTATCTTCTTCTTTTCCTTTTTTTTTTTTTAACATATGATGTATTTGTTTCAGAGGTACAGGTCTGTGATTCAACAGTCTTGCACAGTTCACAGCGCTCACCATAGCACATACCCTCCCCAATGTCTATCACCCAGCCACCCCATCCCTCCCACCTCCCATCACTCCAGCAACCCTCAGTTTGTTTCCTGAGATTAAGAATTCCTCATATCAGTGAGATCATATGATACATGTCTTTCTCTGATTGACTTATTTCACTCAGCAAGATAATTTTCCTATTTGCTAAGAAGTCTAAAAAGACGAGACATGTAGACTGGAAAACTTCTTTTCTCATGCTTTTGCATGAATGCACACTCAGAATGCATGAAATGAACAGATTAATTGAAATATAATTTCTGCAAGGCCTTCCTCCCTGCTGAACCTTTCTCTTGCTAATCAGAGTGGCCCAGCAAGCATAAACATGGCTATGGACGCAAACAATGAATCATGGAACACTACATCAAAAACTAATGATGTACTGTATGGTGACTAACATCACATAATAAAAAAAGAAAACAAAACATGACTATGGACAAAGGCATTGCTCTCTTGAAAAATTAAATTGAAAATAGGCTTTTGTCTTGAGCTATAGAAGAGGACCAGGTAACACAGATTCTTGTATTTCTTGCACTGTGTGAGAGATGCAGAAAAGTGATGGAATGGACCTGGGTATTAAAAACAATTAGAATTTATTCATTATATGTAGAATGACCATACAATTTCTTATCCAAACCAAGACATTTTTTTCTTTTGATTTTTTTTAATTGAGGTATAATTGGCATAAAACTTTATATTAGTTTCAAGTGTACCACATAATGATTTGATATTTGTATATATGGGGAAATAAATATTTATTTCTTGAGATGAGAACTTTTAAGATTTATTCTCTTAGCTACTTTCAAATAGGCAACACAGTATTATTAACTGTATTATTTGCTGTGCTGTACATTGTATCCCCCTGACTTATTTATTTTATAACTGGAAGGTTGTACTTTTTGACTCTCTTCACCCATTTTGCTCACCCCCCTCTCCCCTGGCAAACAGTATTCTGTTATCTATATCTATGAGCTTGATTTTTTTCTGTTTGTTTTTGTTTTGTTTAGATTCCACATATAAGTGAGAACATATGGTATTTGTTTTTTCCTGACTTATTTCACTTAGCATAATGCCATCAAGGTTCATCTATGATCTATGTTATCACAAATATAAAGATTTCATTTTTTATAGCTGAATCATGTTCCATTATATATATATAAAATATATATACACCATATATATATATACCATATAAATATGGTTTAAATAATAAATATAAACCATAAATAAATATATATATGTATATACACATCACATTTTCTTTATCCATTTATCCACTGATGGACACTTAAATTGTTTCCATATTTTAGCTATTGTAAATAATGCTGCAATGAGCATACATCTTTTTGAGTTAGTATTTTTGTTTTCTAAACTAGGACACTTCTGAGAGTGAAATAAGATGCTAAAGAGGCATAAAACAGAACTATCCTGGGGAAACCTGTACAAACAGTCCACCTTGGGCACAGACATAAATCATCTGTAGACTGTGCTAAGACCATAACCCATTGTCTAAAGATGATTATGAAGAATTTGTGTGAAAGTAGGGAGCTGCTTTATGGGGTGGAGAGCTGGGGATGGTCCATAGAAGGCCTGTTTGCAAAGCAAAGAAGCAGAAGTGGTTCTACATTAATGTTTTTCCTTGGGAAACTGGGAGGTCCATTGGCCAATGTCATAAAGACACCAGAGCACTTTGGAGTATACTGTGGTACTGTAGTTGGGGTGGGTGATGACTGAGCTCACCATAAGGAGAATCTAAATGTTAAGTTTCATTTTGCTCATCCACTGACACATTTCTTCCTGCAAAACTGGTTTCTTTTAAAAACAGGATAGTCTCACCTGGTAATGGCGATCTATTAACTCACACTTAGAAGACGTTGTGAAAAATCGAGATAGGGACCAATTCACCTCTCCAGAGTCTTTCAAAATCTATATTTCTCTGATTCTAAAAAAACATTTGAACAGGAAAGAGAACTCCATGGGTATTTAAAAATTATTTTTAAATGAGGCAGTTGTTTCTGATCACTACCATTTTGTTTCCTTTTACAGATCAAAAGCATAGAAACTTTTGCAATGAACATCTGTGAGCATTTTCTTTCTTCTTTTAACCATGTCATCCGAACTCAAGTCTATGTGGAAGAAGTCCCTTGGAAGCGTTTTGAAAAGGTTACCTCAGTTATTTGTGCTGTCAGCTTAATTAAAGAAATTGGCTTTATGACATATGCTGAAATTTTACTGGAAACAATTTTTTTTTCTAATTTTCAGAATGGAGTTAAGCATGTCCATGCATTTATTCACACTCCCACTGGAACGCACTTCTGTGAGGTTGAACAGATGAGGGGTGGTGAGAAAATATTTTTCATGTTTTGATTCTGCAATAGCAATTTCAATATTTTATTCTTCTAAACAATTCTGTTTATTAGCATTGAGGAAAACTGTAGAGAATTTTGAAGGCATTTAAATCTGAGATGGAAATGAGCATTGTGACTCTGGAGTACAATTAAAAACTATCTGCTTTTTATCCTAGTGTAAAAATGAAATAATACATTTTGCAACAAATCTAGGGGTAGAATAAGGTAGATCATTTTTATCATCTGATTCTGAGGTGAGGGAAAAAAAGGTCCAGGCTGACAGAACCCCAAATCTCTGAATTTTCTGACCGGTACTTTTTGTACAATACCATGCTATAATTATAACAACCTTTGTAGGAAATAGCCAGTAAATAACAATCGAGTTTCCCTGACATTTTATTTTCATAATAAGACCACTGATATTATTATAATTACTATAGAATGAACCTCATTTAAATAGCAATGACAACGATATAATTCTTTCTATTTACTAAGAAATTTAAACTTAACTGAGGAACATAATTACAATATGGACCTTGTTAGTACTGATGATTGAACGTAGCAAATATCAAAATTCCCAAAGCTAGTCTCCCACTGCTTGGTTGAGATGGTCAGAGCAGAGTTTAATAATTGGCTATGAGTTAGAGTAGAGGACCTCTAAGAACCATGGAGCCAAACGTGGTAGATAGGTCTCTATCCTAATAAAAATAAACTTTTGGCGCGCCTGGGTGGCTCAGTCATTAAGCGTCTGCCTTGGGCTCGGGTCATGATCCCGGGGTCCTGGGATCGAGCCCGGCATCGGGCTCCCTGCTCAGCAGGGAGCCTGCTTCTCCCTCCCTCTCCCACTCCCCCTGCTTGTTGTGTTCCCTCTCTCTCTGTCTCTCTCTCTCAAATAAATAAAATCTCTAAAAAAAAAACTTTCATGATCATCATAAATTGAGAACGTGGACTCTGAACTTTTTCCCTTTTCAATGATTCTTCCCTTTCTTCTCCTCTCCTCTCCTTCCCTTCCCTTCCCTTCCTTTGCTGTATCTCCTTCTCGCTCTTCTCTAGCTCTCTTCAGTAAGAATGGGAGGTAGCATCTCATAAATGTTGGAAATATTATAAAGTTAATAAAATATAAGTCCCTTTGGAGTTCTATTGGATAATGCCTTCCCTTAGAAAGTTCTATTGTATTAGCTGTGGTTTAATAATTTTCGCTATCTGTATTAAATTCCAGGCACAGCCATAGCCTTCTCAGTGTTTAATTAACAGTTGTGTAATTATTGTCCTATAAAGGAGACTTAATAACTAGTTGTTAAATTAAGTTGAAGAGATAATGATTTTTTAATCCCCCAAATGCTTAGCCATGTGATATATTGACTTGCTGACTGAGCTGTGAGTTAGTTGAAATGTAACTTTCCTTCCTTCCTTCCTTCCTCCCTCCATTCCTTCCTTCCTTCCTTCTTTCCATCCTTTCCTTCCTTCCTTCCTCCCTCCATTCCTTCCTTCCTTCCTTCCTTCCTCCCTCCATTCCTTCCTTCCTTCCTTCCTTCCTTCCTTCCTTCCTTCCTTCTTTCCTTTTGCATGTGACTTTGGGAGAGAAAGAGAAAAAAATGTTTCCTGCCTCCCCAAACCAGTGTTTTCTTACCCAAACCACACGGACTAGCCTCATAAAATTATAAACTCTAAACTGGCATTGTCCAGCAGAAATATAATGCAAGCTACATATGTAATATTAAAATTTTCTGGTAGTCACATTAGGAAAGAAAAAAGAAATTAATTTTAATAATATATTTTATTTAATCCAATATATCCGCAATGCCCCTTATATATGTTATAAATATCAATTACTAATGAAATATTTCACATTCTTTTTAAAAAGTTAAGTCTTTGAAATCCTGTGTGTATTTTATATTTACAAGCCATCTCAGTTCACACTTCCCATATTCCAAGTGCTTAAGAGCCACGTGGGGCTAGCACTACCATATTAATTAGCATAGCTCTAAACCAAATCATAAGTGATTTTGCAATATTTAGTATATCCCTCTTTTGACTTTCAAGTATGTAAAATAACAGTAGGGGCTAGAATTAGATCTGGGGAGAGCTAACTAAAAAATGAGAACATGAATGAAATATGCTTATGTCATTCATTGAAATACTATTCATTCAACAATTGGATTTTGAGGACTTTTTATGTATTCTAGGGCTGTAAATTCAGAGGTGAAAAAGACATTGCTTGGCCCTAGTGAGTTTACAGTAGATGAATAGCAGGAGATAGACTTATAAAAAGATTTATTGCAGTATCAGGGGCTAAAAATCACAATGAAGGAATCAAAGTTATGCGAGGAAGGCAAAGAGGTGCAAAAACCTAACTCTTCCCAGGGTAGTCTGGAAGGCTTGACAGGGGAGGAGGAAATATTCCAATTGACTTTTGAAAAATGATTCAGGATGTGCCGGGCATAGAAGGGGAAAGAAAATCACAGGTGGAAGAAATAGAATGTACATGGGTAGGACCTATGAAGGAGTGGAGGAGGGAAACTAAAATATTTTGGACATCTGCCTTTTGCTGACCACCATCCTGGGCAAGTAATTTTTGTTTTAAAGGGCAAAGCATTTGAGGAATAGTAGCAAGTTTAAAGGGTCTAGTTCTTAGAATGTAAGGAGCTGAGATGAAAATGAAGAGATTGATTTGGGCTGGATTTGGAAGGGCCTCGTGTAGCATGCTAGCAAGATTGGTCTAACTTGGAGGCAGTTTTGCATGGTGGTAAAGCCATAGGTGGGTTGGAATCTGACTACGCTATATTTGAATTTGAGCTCCACTACTTAATAACTTTGTGACTATGAGAAAGTTACTTATGCTACCTCATTGGTTTTCATTTGTGAGATGATGATAACAGTGATCACCTCAATGGCCCAGAGAATTAAAGGAGATAAATATTAATATAAAGCATTTTAGCACAGTACCTGGCACATAGGAAGCACTCCTTAAATGAAAGCTACTAGTATTATTATTTAGGATGGTCATAGAGACCCAGGAAAGGTCTTTGTGTGTGTGTGTGTGTGTGTGTACCATTCAGTAATTCTGACCGAGGTTACTGTGCCTGCCTGGAGGAAAACAGGCAAGTAGTGAGAAATCTGGGACCTTGTTGCAGAGATGGAGAAATGATGGAGTCAGATCTCAGGCAGTGAGAAGTAGAGGTGGAGAGGGCATTATGTGAGGCATTTCTCAAGGGTACTGAATGGGTGTGAGGGGTTGGGTAGGGGTGGAAGGTACAGAGAAGGAGAGGTTAAAGTTGCCCTATAGCTGGGGGCTTGCAGGAACTGACTGAGGAGAACGCATATGATTAAAAAGTGTTCAGGGGGAAGCTGGTGAATGAGGGCAATAAGGGATCGAGGTAGATTTGGAGACCATCCACAGACTGATGGTGGGTGAAGCTGTGGGCAAGAAGGAGCCATTTCAGGAAAACAAGTGAAATGAGAGGAGAAAAGTAAGAGGACTGGGGGAAATTCCCCAGTTTATGGGTTGGGCAGTCTGGAAAGTCAGACGGAAGAAAGGACAAAGAGAGAGGAGGAAGATTGGAGAGAGTGGTGTCATGGAATTAAAACAATACATTTCAAGAAATCAGGGACCGTGTTAGGATAACAGGATACATAACACACAGGTTCATATGTATTGGCTCCATACAAGAAGCTCACTGCTTTTTGTAAAAGTCCACTTCAGCGTGTGTGTGTGTGCGCGTGTGAGTGCGTGCATGCGTTGGGGTGATGCTCTGCTCCAGGAAGTTATTCAGGAATCCAGGTGGATGCAACCTTACGTTTTTTTAATCCTTACTTTTTGGGGTCACCTTGAGAGTAGATCCCCTTACCAGACAACCAGGAGAAGAAAAGAGCTTGGAGGAGCAAAAGGAGGAGGCAAAACCCCTCAAGCATAACACCAGGCCTGAGACTAGCACACAGCACTTCTACTGGAGAGAACCCAATCACACAGCCACATCCAACTGCAATGGAGGCTGGGAAATGTAGTCTACCCAGGTACCCAGGAGGAAGAGGAAACAGATTTAGTAAACAGCAAGCAGTGTTTGCCACAGGAAGGTTCAGAAGTTTGGACTGAAAGAAGACTGAAGAATAAATGTGCAGTTTGGCAAATGGGTCACTGGTGACTTCCAAAAGAATATTTTAGCAGGGCCTGGAGGTGGAAATGGAGTGGCCAAGGTTAGGGCTCCGCTGACCATAAGAAGAAAACCGTCTACTCTTTACACCCTTGTTCTTTCCAGGAGTTACCAGAAGCTATCGTCAGCCTGAATTCTAGTCACCTGGTTGCTGCAGAATGGAAAAACTAGTACCATAATAAGGCGAAAGCTTTTTCTTTCTGCGGAAAGCCTCAATGCTTCAGGGTACTCCAGTTGTTATGGTGGTGTTCCCAGAAGCCCCAGCTTGACTCATCTAGAGTCCAGCGTCCCTCTGAATATCATGCAGGGCTGGCAGGAATCAGGGTAGGGGAAGAGGGATCTGTTGCCTTAAGTGTATGCAGTATGTGTGTGGATGTGTATATGAGTATGTGTTATCTGCCGGTGTTGTGTACATAAAAATGACATTTGTACTCTGTCCCTCTTTGGAAAGTAAGGATCTATGATCTTAGGGTAGCAAAGTTTAATTCTTAATTTGCTTATTATCCAAGAGCTAAAACTGCAGGTATTTTGAGGTAAGTCAATGAACAAGCATTATCATAAGAAATGCCCTTGCATAGGCCTCACTGAAGAAAATAATGGGTATCTACCCCTGCCCCTCCAAACCCCAATTCACATGGCAAAGACTTGTTACAAACTTGTAAGTAAGGCTTTTGGTGAGGGGCTAGCTAGTTGGTGAGAATTCTGCCCACTCAAACACATGCACTTAATCACACATTCAACCATGCAACTCCCAATAGGGACTCTTCCCAGCAGGATATGTAACTAATGGACTGGATTCTTTCTTATCAATTGAACACACATTTATAGAAAGCCTATTGAAT